CCCCAAAACCCCAAAACCCCAAAACCCCAAAACCCCAAAACCCCAAAACCCCAAAACCCCAAAAAGTATAAGAATAATTGAAAATGGATTCTGAAATGGAAAACGATCAGTCACTTAGCTTCATGGCTGAAGTATCAAAGAGACTATACACACTAACACTGCACATTTATGACTCTTCTCTTTCTACTCAAAAGTGTAAGTTCTCTTACAAGTGAGAAGACTCTGAGTGACTTGTAAAAGTTGATTTCTTAGATTTAAAGATGCAGTATGTGTTCTTAAAAAATTCTAACCTGAGGCTGAAGGTTAATAAGACTCAGTTGTTATCTTCTCCAGGATGCATTAGTCTCAGATTGGGTCTAGATAAAACAATTATGGATCTTAGTGATACTACCATAAAGTCGATGCCTTGTCTGATACCTCCAAATATTAGCATTCACTGAAATTGTGGCGAGAGAGTGACTGAAAATATAGAAACTACTATTAATTCTCCTTCAGCTAAGTGGTTTGAGACTATTGAGCTTTGGAAATGTCACGAAGAGGATTATTCCCACATGCTAACTGATGAGAAGGGCAAGTTACTGATTGCTCCAAGCAGAGGAATTCTTAATTTTACCACTCTGACTGTAAGTAAAGAGACTTTATCTGAAGGCTCAATAAATGGAACTCCTAAATCGGAAATCTTTTCATGCCTCAAATGATCACAGGAGTTAGGGACAGTACAGTTTGATGACCAATATAATTTTATTATTGGCAGATGCTTACTATTCCAAGAATCTCAAGAAACAGTTGAGCCATTCTGTTTGGATCTGTACAAAAGTTTTTGCAATAGCTTAAGATCTGTATATGACGAAAATTTCACGAAAGATATTAAAGTGTCTTCTAATGAGTCTTTTAAACAGATCTACATAAAAGTGCTGAGCATGGACTCATATGTGACTTTTGGAAATACTATTTCGACCATTCCCAAACTCGCCCAAAAATTGGAAGTCTGAATAAAAGTCTTATTTTCCTGAGGAGAAGAAGGAATAAAACTTGGCGATATTAAGAAATGTCAGGAATATAGTTGCACTGATAATGAAATATTGGAGATTCAACAGCACCTTCAAAAAGGGTGAGATCAACTTCCAAGTGAGATGCGAAATTTTAAGAAGCTATTTAATGTTTCATACCTAAATTACATCCCATAATATCCGATTGGGGTTTTGGGGTTTTGGGGTTTTGGGGTTTTGGGG